TGATAAGACGTGGATCCCGGGGGCCGTTCCGGATTTTCTCTTTGTATCTGTGGTACCATTCGTTAAGATCGTTCGCTGCTTCATAGATATGGCAACTTGCTCTCTGATCTCTTTGGAAAGGCTGGCGTTGCCGTTCGGAGATTTGTACGGGGACTTCCGTTTGGGCTTCCTCGGCTGCTCGATAATAGTGGCAATACTCTTGTCGTGTTGTTCGGATTGATGAACCGTCCAGGCTTGGCAGGCTGCATATTTGCAGCGGCCGTAGACCCATTCAGCTTCACTGTTTTCACAGTAGAAGTTATAGTGACAATCGATTATTCCCGAACATTTAGGATGGGCACAACGGCAACAGGTGTCAAACTATTTGCCCTTCACACTTTTTCCGCGCTTTACCCACAAAAACGAACCGGAGGCACGTGACACTGGTAATAAATAACACGTATAAACTGGATTAAAGTTTTATAGAGTAGCAAGCCAATCCACAAACCATGAAAAAAGTTGGAAATTTATTGTTAGGTTACTGGTAGATAGAGCGAGGTCAACGGTTACTATTTAGGTAACGGTAAACTGACTATAAATAACACTGATTGTTAACATGAACCAGTATAGAGGTTTAATTTTAACTTATAATAACAGAAAATTTACCAACAAAAGCAAGAGCAGCGAGGAATACAACCGATTTCAAGCGTATCTAGGAGGTTCAGCTAACGGAACCTGATCCGCTCTTCGTACCCGTAAATATGTAGTTTCAGAATATAAACTGAACAATAATTATACAGAGATTACTCAATTCCAAGGTTGCAATTTATGAACCATTCCAATACTTATGTGTTCCCATTTGTTTTATTGCGCTACTTTCAATTCACGATCATTGCTTGTTGCCGAATTTTCCTGACGCTATGGGGGAGTTCGCGGAGGCTGAAAGCATTTCACTGAAACGTCTTAAGGAAGAGCGGAAGGCATGGAGGAAGGATCATCCATTCGTAAGTCGGCTATTTTTTTGTTCTACATGGAAGTAGGGTTTCGTGGCCAAGCCGGTCAAGAAAGAAGATGGTTCTCTGGATCTCATGACTTGGACGTGCAGCATTCCGGGCAAAAAGGGGGTACGTTAGTGCTTTCAAAGGTTATTGTCTGTGTAGACTTTGTGGGAAGGTGGGCTTTTCAATCTGCGTATGTACTTTAAACCTGAGTATCCCACCACTCCACCAAAGTGCAAATTCGAACCTGCGCTCTTCCACCCCAATGTTTTTCCATCGGGTACCGTTTGTTTGTCTCTACTTGATGAGGAAAAGCACTGGCGTCCGGCAGTAACCATCAAACAGGTATGTATTGTCTCCCTCATGTGCATTTTTTAAGATTTTACTTGGCATCCAAGATCTTCTGGACAGTCCAAATCCGAAGGACCCGGCTCAAGCGGACGCATACACGCTTTTCATTCAAAACAAAAAGGAATACGATGCACGGATTAAGAAACAGGCTGAGACATTCAGGAATCCTAATCTATGAATGAGCTCACGTAACCACACACTTATCTACATCAGATGTTTTTGTACACACCAGAAATGTAAATAAGACCTTACTTCATTATGTTGGCTTTTAGCAATCTTGGGAGGTTAGGTTTTTTTTACGGACTAGTGTTGCTCAAATTTACCGTTTCGCGAATCATATAGAGTTCCGAGTTTGGGTCTTGTCGGTTGTACAAACTGAACTGAGCTCTAGTCGCGTCCGGACTTCAAGGGTTGCTGCTATTCCCATAGATCATGATTGATGAGTGTAATAGCTGTCTTGAGTAGGTGTCTAATATAGCTCTCGCGAATGAAAAGCTCGGCACTTATCTTTGAAATCATCATCCCAATTCTGACCAAACGCTCGTCACTACCCGACCGACAGCTTGGTTGGTTCTGTGGTAAGGGGTATTCTTAAAAGCACCATACACCCGGGGTTTGATTCGCTGCCACCGAAGGACTTGGAAACTAAAGCAACCCACAACAGCTGAGACATCTAACCCTCATAATGGTATACCAGGAGACGTGTGCACGGCGATTTCTTGGCTTGGAACGGTTGTGGTCTTGGCGCCGAGTGAGCCCAATGTTGCTCGACTCCGACGCGGACCTGAAAGCGGTGTACTCAGTGCCTCCAGCGAACGCTGATCACATGTACAACGGGGTAGTTATCGTTGGTACACATTGCTAACCCGTCCATTCGTGTACATGTAGGCAAGGCCTGTCACCGTTGCAGTTGAAGAAATGTATTCGAGGTCACTGATCGTTCAAGCGGTTCGTATTTGCTGGTAGACCATTTCTGGTCAATGTTGCATTCCACAAACACCGTCTGGTTATATTTGGTTCCAGTACAGCTGTCGACTTCGTTCTGGTTTTAGCCGAAAATATCCACGCGGTTGCAGAAAAGCAGATCGGGCCTTTGAGGCACACGACTGCCGTTGTGTTGGAGGCAACCGTAGGTTGCTCCTCCAATTTCGTTACAACGACCAAACTGAGTTGTTAGTTCGTTCTGTGAAGGGGGGATTTCGTTTCGGTGCCTAAAGAGTAGGAATGTGCGGCTACGTGGACTGAGAAAAAGTTTCCGTGTACGCATGAGGTGCAGGTGACCGGGAAGGGGAAACGTAAGCCGTATTCCATTGTGAACGTTGTTCACTGATCGCAATTCACAGAAGCAAATATCAACAGCGTATCATACCCCACAAGTCATAAGCGTCGCTATGATCGAACTGTAAGGATGGAACTCGGTCGTCACTGGAGAGCGATGATTTTCTGCAACTACGGATGTGGTTTGAAACAGCAGTGTTGATTGTTTGTGAGCTGCCTTTGGTGATGACGCGCCTTCATGAAGAACTGTGTTCCCGTACGTCAAGCACGTGACTTGTGGAATCCGATACGGGTCACCAACAGCTGCAGGGGAGGCTTTTATCAACTGGTCGAAGGGTTTCCTGCTTTCGTATGGTAGGGCTGTTTTGCCAAATGGTTTGAGTGCAGTTTTGGTTTGTACAACAATTAACCACGCATATTCGTGCGCCGGTTTTGGTTGCTGTCTTTTTGCTGCCCGTTTGGATGAGGAATAGGAGGATAAAGGAAAGTTGAACAGAAAATGGAGAAATTCAGTGGTCTAAGGTTGGAAAGAAATTGAGATGCACAAACGCCATTGGTTGCGAC